AATATAACGACTACACAATGTTGTATTGTCATTTGTGTAGTTGTGGCGTACGCAAAAGGACTTCATTCAACTTATCCCATAGCCATAATTGCCAGTTCTCAATGAGACCTGACAGCCCTGATAATCATTATAAAAGGAATCAAGAACAAACATTACTTGCCTTTACTACCATTGCAAATAAAAAAGTTTGATAGCAATAGGTATCGGAATGTGAGCCTACAGGCTCAATTATCACTTTAAAATAAAATAATGATAACAAAATGTATGGTAACATAATTTATTCTCAATAGATTCAACGACAATTGTACATCTAAATAAATTATACGCACAAAATAAATACATATACAAGGCATAACTTTGGTTTCAACTAAATATATATTTTTAATTGAGCACTATTATAATTATTAAGCTAATTACGATTTTCGCCCTAAAGTAAACTCACAACCCAACTAAATATCGTTTTCACTCGAGTAAAATACATAGAAGTCGACCTAAACGCCCCAGAATCTTTCAAAAAAATTACATTCTTGAACAGAGATAGGCAGGCGCCCGGGATTTAACCCGACGCATTGAAGTAAATCGATACAAAAAAATCGTTAATTGAATCAATTTTCATAAAAATCTAATCGTAATGTGCATCCTTAGTAGTGAGAATCCACAGGATTACAAAGTAAGTATTGTGTTTTTTACATCGAAATTTGTAATACGTATGGAATAGAGCAACACTCACACAAACCCTTTAGGTATAAGAGTGGCAAGTACCTAGATAATAAATTGTTGTAATATGAGTAAATCAAATGAATAATTATACCTAATTCTAAAAAATATTGGGCATAAATGGGTTAAAACCCAGGGCGAGTACCATTGGGTTTTAACCCATTGCCCACCTCTGTTCTTAAAGCGTTGATGTAGTCAGCATTTTATTGCAATTCAATTCAAAATATCTTCATTTCGGTTAACGATCAGTAGTCCGAAATAACATTTTCCAGAAATAACGTTTGCTGGAATTTTCATAATCTCGAAAGTAATTTTGAGAGGAAAATGTTTTTTCTTTTAAACCTAACTTAACCTAACCTAACCGAACCTAACGTGTCTTTGCGATAAACATCCAAAATATCCTGAAAGAACAGCGGTTTCGTCATAATTCGGTTTTCGGTGTAATGAAAATTCGAACAAACGTTATTTCGGAAAAAAAATTCGAGTTTGTGATAATTTTGTGGATTGGATCCTGTTTGTTTTACTACGCCCATTGCACTTAAAATCGTTAAATTGATTAAGTGTGACAGAAAATGACTAATTTAAGGGTGCCAGTATTCAGGGTGTCTTCTGGTTATATACCGATGTGTGTTATAAACTAATTTATAAATTAACGCTTCCTAATATGACTAGATGGAGCTAATCCTAAACAAAATAAAAGGATAGCCGGCAGTATCCATAACAATCTATGCAATAAGCGCCATCTAGTTGATATGTTTGTTATCACTAGAAATTAAAGTAGCTTTGATAAATTGCAGCTTGTCAATCAAGCTGCAATTTATCAAAGCGAAGAACAAAAGACACCCGTCAATTGTATCGAAATCGGGCTGGCCAACCAGAGCGCAGTTGTCACAGTAATGATTTGGTAGAATAGTTTTCAAACAAATAAAATGACATTTCATCTCTATTTCTGGTTATATACTCGATGGTCTTGGTAGAAGGCGGTACTCCTGGTTGAAAACTTTGAGGGAATGTTTCGGCTACAGTACCACCTCGCTCTTTGGAGGATCCAACCTCCGATAGGAGAGGAACCCTAAGAAGAAGAGTGTAAAACAAAGATACAAAAATAACTGTTTCGCACTCATCGCGGCATTTGGTGTACCAATAGGAACTAAACACCCGACTACGCGGTCTTGTACCGCTATTAGGAGTCCTGTTGAGTTATCGGTCCACGGCTTAATTTCCATTACCGCAAAACGGAATGCATGTTTTAGAATTATCGAAATTGTACACAGCATAATGGTCTAGATACGATACGGTAGCTGCGAAATTCCCGAGACTGCGTGAGAATTCTACGGAAAACGCGCGACCTGTTTTTACATTTTAGGCTAAGCACACTACGGTGCAATGAAAAATCGTCTGGCAAAACGGTAACTAAACATAACGCAAATTTTCTCTTTTTTATGTATAGATGAGATTTTAGACATACGTTTAACCGCTATACCATCTAGACCCCAAGCATCGACTATATAACCAGAAATAGAGGCGAAATAAGGGCCATCCATCCCTAGCAACTTATCAGGCAAATGGGCCTTATATCACTTTTAAATATCAACTCTCGTTTGCGCTGAAACTAGAAATTAGAAAGCTGAATAGTACAGCGCCAACATGTAACCTGTGTGCAAGTCTCCATATATTCCAAAAATATTACATATTTGTTGTAATAAAGACAATATCTCTAACTATGGAGGGCTGTTCCATTCGGTGGTGTGGGAAAAACAGCAAAACATCTAGTTACAAAACAAACGGAATCACATTTCATCGGTAATAAAATATGTTTTTTTTTTTCGTCCATTACAGCAAAGCTCTAGTTAAACTAGTCAATTTGAAGTGAAACAATTGACGAGACCCGTCACTTGTTTCGAATTCGGGCTGGCCAATCGAAGCGCAGTTGTCACCGTAATGATACGGCAGATTATTATTCAAACAAATTCAATGACATTTCGTCTCTATTTCTGGTTATATACTCGATGACTCCACTAGTTTTCTTGAAATCGCTGACCGTTGTAATTCCATAGCGACTGCACTGTGACTTTTGGCCACATAATCTTAAACAATCAAATATAAAATTAGCAAAAAATGGTACTTTTACTTACAACAATTTATGTGGGAGGTATCGAAAATATAAGTGATATAAGTGATTATATTGCAATTATGATAATATTTTGTTACTCTGCCAAAAGCTTGCTTGGCAGCCTAATAGTTTGACATACCGCCACCCAAGCAGAGGTCGCGTGTTGGAATCCTCTGAATTTCTCGGAATTTATGCGAAATTTAATTTGAAATTTACCATGAGCTTTTCGGAGAAGGACAACATCGTTATGAAACCTGCGTGTCGGAGGTGCACAACCATCTGAAAACGTGTGAACTCACCCAGCCCGCATTTGGCCAGCGCGCGGCGGACAATGGCCTAAACCCTTGCTTGAGAACCCGTGCCCAGAAGTGAGACGTATAAATGGGTTGCTAACGGGTAGCTAAAATCTAGTTGCAATACCATGGACATTAATTACTATACATATCTTAATTTTTATCTCATTTAATCAACAATTTAGTCTTCAAATTAAATGCATGCATGGTTTTCAGTCAGGGGGTCCAATCTCATTCTCCGTTCGAAACAATTACTGTCAAATAAGTATACTCCTTCCAACCGTTTATTTAACTTTTGACTGCTCGAATTCTAATTAATTAGTGATGTCCTAATGCATTTTTGATTCGATTTTTTTATAACATCGATTTTATTTATGAAGAAGTTTTAATCGGGAATGTCAGCGGGTTCAAAAAGAAGATATTGTCTGATTGGGATCGTGATGTTGCGTTTGACAATTTTTTTGTACTCAATAATTAATAATTAATGTTAATGAGAATTCAAGTGATGATTCCCGTTCATATGGAAAAGAATCCGACGATTCATTATAATAAACAATAAGAATTTATTATAATTATTTATAATTTACTTAATTTCATTATAATTTATTAGACAGTTACCAAAATTAATCAACTTGAATAATCTTCGTTACATAAAGCGTTGGCTCGATAAATATCGGAGCTAAAGGACGCGTCGCTTCACTAAAATTAAATAATAACGCACACACTCACATGGTTGGACGGAGTATAATACTCGATCGAATTAAAAGTCCATGTCCAATATGAAGCTTTATTTTTTAGTATCAGTAGAGGTTCTTGTAAAAGAGTTCGTCCAGGGAAGTACTGCCACCTTACCTATTTTTGCCACCAAGCAGTAATGTGAGCTTTACTGGTTTAGAAGGGTACGAGTTCTGGTGAAATTACAGGGACTTGTCAACTTATGTCCCAGGGTGACTGTCGCACTGGCAGTGCCCATAAGATCTTTGCGATTTAAAGCTCTCAATGGCACCGCAACTATTCATATCACTTAGTAATATAAAAAAATGAAAAAAGAAATAAAATTCGCTTGACTCGATTAATTATTTGACTGTTTCGGATAGATGGCGGTCGGGGAACGAAATTACAAGGCCAGAGCCAACGAGAGGAACTAAATGTAGGAGTTATTTTTAAGCACAAAATACACCATATTTTGCATTCCTCTTATTCATAATTCTGAATTATTAATATATCATTGTGAATTAATATATCATTGTTCATTATCAATATATCAAAGGAGTGGTTCCTGTAGTGGTACTAAAATAAATGGAAATTTTAACCAGGTTGTTTTTTTGTAAAGAGCACTCAAAATGTAGAAAATCTGAATTTAAAACAAATTATTTTTGGCCTGCAATTTCCAGAAAATCCTTAGGAATTTTTAATACTATGCGAAGTAAAACGGAACGCAATCCCACGAAACGGAACGGATTTTTGTGTAATTTTTTGGCTAATTGGCCAGTGACCAATGCCATAAAAATATTGACACATCAGATGTCAAAGTCATTCTTGTTGCAATTTAATTAGCCAATTAGAATTATGATTTTGAATATTTTAGCGTTTAAGTGTTGCTACTTTTTGAACTTTTTTTAGCATCGCATTTTAGTATCGTGTTGCTGGAATTTATTTATTTATTTATTTATTTAAACACTTTATTGTACCACAGAGTAACTTACAAATTTTCAGAAACAAATTAAATATTTGTGTACAAAGGCGAGCTTATCCCATAAACATAGATTTCTTCCAACTAACCTTTGAAAATCTGAGAGGAAAGTTATTATAGTATTAATTTAACATATCTACCACACTTTTGTTTTAAATAAATATATAAAAAATGCAGGACAATATTTTTTTTACTTATTTTGCTAAGCTCTATTTGAAGCTTATATATCTAAGAAAAAAATTGAGGTTAAATTTTTCTGAGAATAGAGTACCAAACTCCATACTAATTCGTTACAAGTCCTTTCCACCGCAGTGACATAGAGCGCTGTCTAATTGGACGCTTATAGACGCTGCAGTGACACAACTCAGTCGTACTTCACTAACTGTTCCTGCAAAAATAGCGCGCGCGTGTTACGACAGTGGCGCTACTACTACGCTTCCAGATATTGTGAGAAAACTCGGAGATCGGAGGAGAAGCGGAAAAACTGTTTTGCTAGATCAAATGGTTTAGGTATTTACCATTGAATAACGGTCTTTTAAAAAATATACGCTACACCTAAGGATATTGTCTAAAGAATGTGCTAAATTGTTACGCGACAGGACGTACTTTACTCGATCATATTAAATCCCGTAAACATGATACAATTAAAGTTTAAAACGAATTATTTAAGAATAATATTTCTTTACACACAATTTTTGCGTGGAGATGTTTCTCCATAAGTTCTACAGAGAACCTGCTAAATTTTGGTTTTCAACTGAAGCCTTTATAGTTATTAAATTCACGTTTATACCAAAACTTGAAAATTGCCCAGCGGTTTAATGACATGCCCCGTCGCCCGCTGTCCCGTCAGTTGCCATCGGGCGCTTGCCAACGTCGGATCTCCGTCAAATTTTCTCCGCTTGTTCTTATTTTATTCATATTAATTTTAAGCGCGCAGATTACAGGACGTGAAGGGCACCTCACATTCTTTCTCACTTGCGTTCAAATACTTAGCCTGCAACTTCTATAAGCGTCTAATTTACTACGTCTAGCCTACGCCCTAGCCATAATCGATCCTTAAGTAGGACAAATGATATTAACGTGTTTAGTAACACTGAATCAAAATTCCTAATATCCGCTTGTTACTATCCGAAGATGGTCACCGCTCAAAGCTCTGTGGTCCAAATTCCGCATCTTAGCTTTGACCGGGGACCGTCTCAACCTATATGTGACTATGACTTACATCTTTAGTTATAAGTACTGTAAGTGTAAATTGCACAAAATAAGTAATTTGAACGCGCCCATAATATCGTAATCACATCATACACAAACACAAAGAATTGCACAGCGCAAAATTACCTATCTCACATACGTATACTACAGTCTAAGCCCAAATTTAAATATTGTTTTCTTTTACTAAAATACACCATTCCAGTCAATGTCTTTTTTAAATAACCTTTACTGTCATAAGTCGAATGACTTTACCATTTTCAACTAAATGCTATTATTATATGCTAATATTGTATAGCAAAGAAAATTTCCTAAAGGATCTGTCACATTTGGTCGTCAAACGCCATTTGGTAAAACAACAGTCGACGACCAAGTGTAATTACACCTTAAAACAATTATAGAACAATAACGATTAGTCTCATAAAGTTCTGGAAGTGGTTTCTTGGTCTTGGTCTTGTTGTTTTATAAGATTCCAGTAGAAACCTTTTTGTTTCTTCAGCTGTTCGTGGGTGCCCATCTGAAATAGATATTTGAAATTAGGAACAGTACTATGGCCACTATAACGTGCCAGACAACCACACCTGCCTCCGTAGCATGACTACGCATGATAGTCGCGACGACTATCATGCGAATAATAAACTGATGACTATATTTATTAAATTTGTACGGTTTTAAATAAATATACCTAAAGAAATGAAAGTAACACCGTTTTTGACAACGCGCGCGCAGTTATACAACCGCCTGTTCCCTTCGTAGACGCGGGTACTTTTAATACACAAGCAAATAAAGTCACAACATTGCAAAGAGGCTCAAGTGTCAAGTTTTATCATTTTAAAATAGAGAATTTCGATTCTACTTTGACACAGGGGCGCCGCAAAATTTGCAATACGAAATTGTCAAACATTCGCTCACCAACAGTAATTCATGGTTTCTACTACCATCTCATCACCATCTCAGCCCGTAATACACACTGCTGGGCATAGGCCTCCTCCTTTGCACGCCAGCTCAATTGGTCCTGTGCGAGTCTCACCCACCATCTTCCGGCCACCCCAACGATATCATCCGACCATCTAGCAGATGGTCTGCCTCGAGGTCGTCTCTCTCCTGTCGGGTACCACTCAGTGACCGCCATGGTCCATCGGTCGTCGTCCCGCCTAGCAACGTGTCCTGCCCATCTCCATTTTAGGGTCGCGATCCGTATACCGCTGTCTACGACTTTTGTTCGCTGTCGTATTTCCACGTTGAGTATAGGGTCGACGAGGGAAATGCCGAGCATGGTGCGCTCCATTGCCCTTTGTGCTACTCTGATTTTGTGCATGTATTCCGTTGTGAGCGGCCATCTCTCGGCGCCGTAAGTAAGTATGGGCAGGTCGCATTGGTTCAACTTCAACTTCAACTTTTGTGTCTATGGCTCCGTCGTTTTGCGCGACGATTTTGCCAATGTCAGGGTTGAGAGACATGTGTAGCGGTAGTGAGACAGATTGCCGGTTATTAAAATACTTCGGCGGTTTTTATTCACAAATATGGTATAAATTTTAGTTTTCAGGCTTTGAGGGATTTTAGATTTACAGACGTCCTCCAGTTTTCCGAAGGAGGCCCATCCCAACTGCATCCTTCTCGCGATCTCCTTGTCTAGCGAAACTCGGCCAAAAGGTAAACAGTGTCCAGTGTGTGTATACTTTCTACTATACGAGTAAGACATAATAACATTTCTTAAGAAACTCTTTCGAATTTGGGAACTCTTTAACGTACAGCCAACAGCACATCAAGTCTACAGCTTAGTTCGAGTATCGCCTTCTTTGCAAAGGAACAAGGTTCGTCAATGATATGCTGTCTGCTGTACAGATTTCGATCAGATTGGGTATTAGCAGCAAATTATATATATATATAT